ATACGCCTAAATCGTCAACTCTGAGCAGTGCTTAGGAGACTACAACTCTTACAGATCGAAGGATTGTTCTTGAAAACTATACGAAATCACCTGCATAGGTTCAGCTCTCGGTCGACCTCCCCTTCCACTGGAAGCGGTTGTTCCCCTTCGCCGTGGAGCACCACCACCTCTTCCATTGTTGTTGACAACCGCATTCATCAGTCCATTTGAGTTCGAATTTAGATACCTGCAATTAGCAAGTAAACGATGCTAGACAGAAATGATAAAGAATTAGGATAAGACGATCACAATCGATGAAGCGACATTGCCATAAATTCCACTCAGTCATTCTGAAATTTCAATATATAGCTCTCTGCCACATTCACCACTTGGATGGCTGCTATGACAAAATAAGTGAGCCTCCCAAGCATTCTCTCCCTTGGGTAGATCAATGGCACTTGGCGGATGTGAAAGCTTATTTGTAAGAGGTCGCACAAAAAGTGGCGCGGTGATGAATTCGAGCGTTCGCTCAACGTGAGAAGCGCTTAACGTTGAGATGCATCCACAGCAGATCCCTGTGCAGCCATGCGACTTAGTCAGACCAGATGGGTACCCGACAGGAGGCCCGTCGCGCGGCGAGAAGGCAGAGACGCAGACGGTCAGCGGACGAGTCGCAGCGCGTGCTGTGTGATGTGGGACGTACTATAGTACATTCTATTTAACTTGACGCGAAATCACTACAGTACGCGCTGCGACTCGTCCGCTGACCCGTCTGCGTCTTTGCTTCTCGCCGCGCGATGTCTGTTGAGTACCCAGACTAGATATCATCGAAAGCTTCAAACACACACGTGATGTCGATTTCTTCAAGACCGTCGCCACGTGTACCACTAATTCTGCAATTACGCCATGGCCGACAGTGGGAAACGAAGTTTAATCAGTCGGAAGCGTGAAGTATTTGATAACACGATGTTTGTAAAATTCGAACTCCTCTCGTATGGAAACCAAAGCTCTTTACCAATAGGTAATTCGGCTTACGCTGCCTACCTCGAAACGCTCCTAGAAATAGAAAGAAGAATACCCTCTGGTCATCAATGATCATCATTACCAGATTCTATAGCCGTACTCACAGAACCTTTGCTATGCTATCACACATGCTACATAAACTTACCTTGCAAACGCTTCGGACAGAAGATTAATCTTAGCTTCGGTTTGGACGAATATTCGCCGGTATTTTCCAAGTTGCTCATCTAGTACCTACAAAAAAACCTGGCAGAATCATAAGGAGCAACCTGGCGGATTCATAAGGAGCAACCTACGTACATTGATCAACAAATAGAGTGGTGTAATCACTAATTCAAAACCGAGACAACTTGCTTCTTGTTTTGTTCGCTCTCCAGCACAAATCGCTTGTAACTGACGCTCCAAATCCGCTCTCAACTGTGGTTTACTCATGGCATAGCCTAAAATAGAATATGGAGGATGAAAGGGAAAAAGCATTAGCATTTCTGCAAATGGGACGCGCCACGCACTCCATATTCGTCCAGAAATGTGGTAGAGGTGGTCAGTGGTGCAGATATGGAGAAAAACCATGACAAACGGCCCAGACTCGAAGAATGGAAGCCCTTCTTTGCCGGACAGCGCCGTGGGGAGGGCCATACTAGATCGTCGGCAGTACCTTTGCTGCGAAGTGCGTGTCTGTCCGCACCCTCATGGTGGAGGGTCCGTCTGCCATCGCACAACTTAATTTCCCTACCTCGGCCTTATCCTGGAATCCTCTGAAGGGATCAGCCGATGGACAAGTCACATTTATATCCTACCATACAAGGCTGTTACCAGTTCCCCAATCCCCAATGGATAAAAAAATTTTTAGTCTCAGCAAAATGCAAGCAGAGATCTAGCCTGGAAAATCGTAGGCATGGTATGCGGTGAGCGTGGAGGGCCGTTCTAAAGTGTTTTTACAACTTTCAGAACAAGCCTTCCTGTTTTTGAGATGTAATAAATGGATTTAATCGGAACTAACCAACATTCATGGAGCATCTATGGATGACTTGAACTCGGTTTTCGAGTGAGTCAATGTCCTGCTCTTGTCTGGGAGCTCTCGCCTAGTGTTACGACTACAGCGACCTCGCACGTTTCAAATTTTTACTACATGAAAAAGTAGCTGACCCACCCCGCATTATTGAATAGCTGCATTCCCCCTGGCTCACGTATCTCCCGCTTGGCAACGTCAGAAGATGGTTTCGGGCTCAATCTCCCCACGCAGGTCTTCCGTAGACGAATCCCGCTTGGATAAGTCATGGAAGGGCTGCTGGGGCTCACAGAAATTGCGCTGACGCGCCTGTCGCTTTACCTCCGCCCATCACGAAATGAATGATCTTTTTACTGAATAATGAGCCCCTTCCCTTTCCCGCACGAACGTCTGAGCTGAGTTTTATCGAAAAATGTTGACTCTTTCTCAAGAGTCTTGCTCATTCATAATTGCACAACTTAACAAGACGTTGGCCTACTACGGTGAAACTTGTGTAAAAATAATAAAAAAATAATAAAAAAGAAATAATGTAAAATATTTCTCTTTTCAAGCACGGTTCAACTTGTTTATAGGAGAAACCAACCCATTGCATCATAACCATCGACAAGAGCTAGGCCAAGAAATCCGGGAATGAAACGACCATCATCACGAACACCTACGTACTGTCTCATCTGGAAAAGGGTGAAACTTTAGAAGGTCAAAGATTTGAAGACCAAAGATGTGCACCAAAAATAATAGCGGTATAGTAAACCTTAATCTTCTCTATGTGCTCAGCATGTGTCGCATCCGTGCCAATACCGTACTTGTCCATGAGCGCGATCAAATCGGCTGTAAGAAATCGTGATACTCTTCTTTAAAACTTATTTAAACTCCAACTTAAAGGCAAGCCCTGGGGTGAAATGGGTGTGTAAGCGCGTTCAATAATGAAGTTGAGGGTACGGAGTGATTTGAAAAAGAAAAAGAAGGCGCAAAACTGCCGATTACGCTCCGAACAAAGCCTCCTCTCATTCAACAGCAATCCACCCTGAAATGAGGAAGAGGCGTGTTCGGAGTGCTCGTTTAGAGACAGCACTGGCTTTCTTTTGATCTTATATCTCATCTTGAAGAGCTGTTAGCTGCTACGTGTCATAATCCAAGTTGCGTCTAGTCGCGGTTGTTATCGCTGATCCATGCAACAACCTTCGGTTTGCGGAGGGTTCACCTGGGCGGTATTCAATCCTTCCCCCAGGGGATATATCCCCCTACTCTGATTCAATCCTCTGGGGGACAAAAAAGGGTTGCGTCATAGGACCTAGCATACCTCTGTGTTTCTACCTGCCAGACAGTTAGAGCAGCGCGACCCCTCAGGGAAAGAGTGCTTCATCAGTGGAGGGTAGTAGCGCTGCTCTAACTGTCTGGCAGGTAGAAACACAGAGGTATGCTAGGTCCTATGACGCAACCCTTTTTTGTCCCCCCAGAGGATTGAATCAGAGGAGGGGGATATATCCCCCTGGGGAGGATTGAATACCGCCCCAGGAGTCAATGAACCTTAAAGCAACAGTCCAGGCAGGGTTTCAACTACTTGGTCATTAGGCGGTCAAAACATGCCCCAGCCCAACTAAAGTTTATAGGAAATGTCTTTAAGTTCAAAACCTACCTCTAAAATGCGCTGGAAGGGGTCGAAGTCCTCTTGGAGGGGGCGGATCACCCATACCGAGGCGGATCGCCCAACATACGCTGTGCAGAGTCCGTGCTTGACTAGCGGTCGTTGCGGGACCGCCGCGCTGTATGAGGTCGATTCCATAAGAACGCAATTGAAGCGCTTCAATTTCGATTGCTGGCAAATAGTTATGTATTTGCAAGCATGCAGCTATTTGCCAGCAGTTGCAATTGGAGCGCATGTACTACGGGCAGGTTCGGACAACTCGTCCAACACACGTCTCCCTAAACGGCAGGGGGAGTCCCTGTCTAAGCCCCTGCCCGACGTTTTTTTCTACTTTTTCTTTCTCCATTGACCAACTTCTCACCTGCAACGTCATTATAGGTGGTCCTTACCCGCGAATTCGTTCCTGGATTGTTGCTTTAAGGCCCCTAACGGCATTGCAATGGGGAACCTCTGTGCTATGCATTTCCACGCCTATAGTCGTGAGAGCTTAATCCCGGAGCTTGCCTATCAAGAGTACCACTGACCTTCGTTGAGTAATTCTGGTGGTTGAGTTTGACCATCTGCTATTCGAAACGATAATCAGTGAGTTCCTCTCCTTCCACATAAATCGGTAGCACTTTGTTACCCCATTTATCGTAGACATACACCCGTAAATATCCTGAAACAAAACAGTTTCAGAAAAATTTTCACATTCCGGATATGAAGTACGAAGAAGCAGTTCAGTACTGCCGCGCGCAGAAGCGTTGCTTCACTGGAATCTTGAAGGTGGTAAAGCACGAACTGTCGTTACTTCCTACTTCTCGATTGTCCTACGTAGTAGAGTTCCTCAATTCCTTCTAGAAAGATGAAATAATCCAGACTATACAGCAGCATTAGTTGTCGCACTCGCGCAAGTTGTGTGACGCGACGCGTCAGCTCGCGGCAGAGCCTATTCGTCTCTCTTACTGACGTACAAGGCGGGTGAGCTAGACGTTTTCAAAATTTACAACGCAGCTAAAGAAGTTCTAAAAGCGTGGATTGAAGATTGCACGCATTTTTCTCACATTGCCTTGTTTCAGAAAACCAGAAATGCGCCGAATGCAGACCACACCACAAGTGACGACGGCCTCCACAAAATGTGTTTTCTGCCAATGAAATGATTAGCCTGTTGCAGTTGTATTCTATCAGTTGTCACTAATTACAACTATCATTTACCAACTATCAGCTATCACTATGAACCACTAGTTACCAGATTTACTTGGAGGCCGTCGTCACTTGTGGTGTGTGGTCTGCACTCCACGCGCTTCTGGTTTCTGACACAGAGGGTACTTGTTCGAGCTTAAAAAAACAGGAAAATGGAAGATTAGAAAACTGATTGCCTGGTATTTCCCCTTATTTCAAGGCAGTTCTATAACTTCCATCTCAAACGTTTGTATCAGCTCACCTAAGTCCTGAACACAAAGTCCAAAAGCGTGGAACGTTTCTCCTCCAATTCTCATCTTCAAATAACAATCATTATCATAGAAAAAACCATAACAAATGGAACACCTTACCCCGACTCTTGTCTCCTGGCCCTTGGCATCCCATGAAACGCATGCCAAGAAATGACGCACAACTAACTCATACACTCGCCAGTCATTGCCTTGAAGAGTGCCGCTGAAGGAGAAATGTTACCAAACGAAGTTTCTGAATATGAGCTAAAAAGTTTCTGAGCTCAAAAAGCAGTACATACTCAGCAACATGTTTCAGAGGATGAATCGGTGGGTGAGCTTCATCTGATTTCGTAC